TAGAGTTTTAGAGTTTCTTCTTTTGATTTAATTTTATTCCTAAAAATTGTATTCCTATTATAAATGGACCTTTCTACATTATATTTTCTCAGTAGCTGTTGTTTTAATATAGAAATCTATTTTTTATACATTACTTTTGTGATGGTCTTTTTATTGAAATTGCCTGTTAGTTTGAAGAAGTTTTAGTTGATATTCTTTGATTTATATGTTTAAAATATATGTCATATGCAAATTTTTACCACCTTTCTGACATTCATATCTCTCTTCCTTTTCTTGATTAAATGGGATGCTAGTGCAGTTTAGCAATGTATCGTGTAATAACATGGTAACTAAACTACTTATTTTAATTTTACCATAATGAATATACAGTACTTTTAATTTTCTAAATCATTAAACATGACACTGGCTCTTATTTGTTTTTGTTTTTGATAATTGAGACAGAATCTTGCTCTGTTGCCAAGGCTGGATGGAGTACAGTGCTATGATCTCAGCTCACTGCAACCTCCACCTCCTGGGTTCAAACTATTCTCATGCCTCAGCCTCCCAAGTAGCTGGGACCATAGGTGCCCACCACCACATCCAGCTAATACTGTATTTGTATTTTTAGTATAGACGGGGTTTCACCATGTTTGCCAGGCTGATTTCAAACTCCTGGGCTCAAGTGATCTGCCCACCTCAGCCTCCCAAAGTGCTGGGATTACAGGCATGAGCCACTGCGCCCAGTGGCTCTTATTTAACATTAGTTTTCTGTTATACATACAATATATATGTGCATATGGATATATATAATCTTAAGGATGTGTTCATTGGAATCGATGTTGAATTTTTAATGCCTTTTAGCATTAAGAAGGTCAAGTATTTTTTTACCTTTGATAATATGAATTCTAGTGTTGAGTCATCTGTGTTTCTTAATGATAAATTTTTCTTTTAATGTTGAATTTCATTTGACAACATTTTAATTAGGATTTGAGTATACTATTCACAAATAATATTAGTCTATTGTTTTCTTTATGTATTTCATCTCTGTCAGATTTTGGCATCCATTTGGTGCTAATGTCATGAAAATACTTTGGATGCTTTTATTCTTTCTCAGTTTTAGAATTGTGAAAATGGTAGAAGTTATGTTGTTGAAGTTTTAGAAGCATGAGCCATGATGTTATTGGAACCTTGCTTGTTTATGCAGGGGTAGGGTGAAAGTTATGGGCGAAAATTTTCACTATTTCAGGGCTATTTGTCATTTCAGACTTCCTCTATATTTTTGAGTTGATTTTGGCAATTCGATTTTTTAATTGTTTTAGAAAATAATTTTATCCAAAATTATATAAAATATTTTTCCAAAATTTAAAATTAGGACCTGAAAACCATGATCAGTTGCTCTCAATCCTATAATCTAACCAGTGTTAAAAGTTATGGATGTTATTTCATCATCTTTCCATGAAAATCTACAATGGATATGTGGATGGATGGATGGGTGATGTGGCTTGGCTCTGTGTCCTCACCCAAATCTCATCTTGTAGCTCCCATAATTTTCACATGTTATGGAGGGACCTTGTGGGAGATTATTGAATCATGGGGGCAGGTCTTTCCTGTGCTGCTCTTGTGATAGTGAATGAGTCCCACAAGATCTCACGGTTTTAAAAATGGGAGTTTCCCTGCACAAGCTCTCTTTTGTTTACCACCATGTGAGATGTGCCTTTTACCTTCTGCCATGATTATGAGGCCTCCCCAGCCATGTGGAATTATAAGTCTAATCTCTTTCTTTTGTAAGTTGCCCAGTCTTGGCTATATCTTTATCTGTAGCAGGAAAATGGACTAATATAATAGGTAAGTAGATAGATGTATAATTTGAATTTAACCATAAGAAATAGTTTTATAAGAAATGCTCTTATATGCACTATTTTCATAAAATATTAAATTTAATATAAAATATTAATTTTACTTGAATTTAACAGAATAAAAAGAACTTGAAGAAAAATAAAGGAATTACAGAATTGTAATTCTGAAAAAAGTGATTCTTTACTGTTAAACGTATCAGTTCTAAAGGATTCTTCCAAGATTAAAGAAAGGGGATTTTAAAAAATCACTGAAAAGAATTTTTTTTTAACCAAATGGTACAGGTTTAGGTAGTAAAGATGCATTCTGAGATACGAATGATGAGATAGTATTACATCTCTTCCCACCTTCTATCTCCTCACCTTTCAATTTTGGTTGTTTGTAATATTTTTTTGTCAGAGTTTGTTACTTTTACATTTTGATTTGCAGCCATAATTCCCTTAGAAATTCAGCCTAAATCCTATATTTGTATGAATTTGCTCTTCTTCCCTGGTTGTTTTTCACCTCAGTTTCTGAATTTTTTTTTTCTCGTGAGTCATTCTTGATTGGCTGAATTTTATTAAGGAGCTACTTTCAAGGGGATGTAAGGGAGTCTTATACCCTCAACGTTTTCATTTTGGAATTGTCTATCTGTTGCTTTTATATTGGGAAACAAATTAACTGAGTACAAGATTTTTGCAACCCATTTTTTTCTCTTGAGATATTGTAAAATTTATTAAATGAGTACATAGTATTTCATTGAACGGACCCCATTTATGTAATATTCTCATTGAACATGTATAATTTGAATTTAACCATAAGAAAATAGGAGGCAAACTAAAACTGAAGGACATTCTATAAACAGCCTGCACACTTTGAGAAATCTAAAAATACATGATAACCCAATGTATTCTGTTATTCTAGATTAGATTCTGGCCTGGAAAAAAAAATGACTATAAATCCTTACTACCTGGGTGATGGGTCCATACTTTAAATCTCAGCATCATGCAATATACCTATAGAAAAAACTTGCACATGCACCCTTTATTTCTAAAATCAAAGTTGAAAAAAAGAATTTTTCCTGAATGCTGAGGCTTAAACTAAAAAATAAAATATTTCAGTTTGTTTTTCATTTTTTGTATTAAAATACTTATGATCATCAAAAGATGCTAAAACTGTTGGGTAAAAACTTGATGAGAAACAGTATGTATGTAGAATCTCAAAGTACCTCCCCACAGATTCCAAAAGGAGAGCTTTTACAGTGGGGAAAGCTGGCATACGGTACTTTAACCAAGGAATCAACATTAACATCAGTCATAACAGGACATTACTATCCTCCTAATGTAAGGCACTGAGCAGGACACAATATCACTTACATAATATATTACTTTATTTTATTTTGAGACAAGGTCTTGCTTTGTTGCCTCGGCTGGAGTGCGGTGGTGCAATCATGGCTCACTGCAGCCTAAAACTCCCAGGCTCAGGTGAACAATCCACCTCAGCCTTCTGAGGAGCTGGGACTACAGGAACACACCGCCACATCTGGCTAATTTGGGGGGAGATTTTTTTGTAGAGATAGGGTTTGCCATGTTGTCCAGGCTGGTCTCCAACTCCTGAATTCAAGTGATCTGCCTGCCTTGGCCTCTCAAAATGATGGGATTACAGGCATGAGCCATAGTGCCCAGCCAGGATCAGAAGTATTTAGACTATCACTCTAGTCCTCTGCCTTAGCTATTGTATGACTTAATCTCAACTACCAGCTTTAAAGTCCATGAGTTTAAATTCTTGGGAGAAATAGTTGAATTGGTCATTGTCCAACCAATGGATTGCTTTTCCCTGATTCAGATGCCTGTAGAGGTTATATATTACAATTATGGCTGCAGGAGACTCTCTTTGTAAGGGGAAAGTCACAGAAAGCAACTATGTGGGGTTGGCAGACTATCCTAAATAATGTGTAGTAGGATTTTTGCAATATTATATTTAAGCCAAAGAACAATGTAGGTCTATTTATTCAAATCTTTTCTTAAGGCCTTTCATAGAGTTTTTAGTGAAAAAAATTGTCTCTAAATATCTATTTAGATATGCTTTTTGTTATTTTGAATAAAATCTTTTTTCCTATTATATGTTATCTGCATGATTGAATTGATATTATTTCTTTGTATACAGCAATTAGTTTTTGTATTTAATTTTAACCAACTACCCTATTTATTTATTTATTTTAAATCATAGCTCAAAGGGTTGCAGACAGGCTGTTTATTTTTATTATTTATTTATTTATTTATTTATTTTTGAGATGGAGTCTCACTCTGTCACCCAGGCTGGAGTACAGTGGCGTGATAGCAGCTAACTGCAACCTCTGCCTCCTGGGTTCAAGCAGTTCTCTTGTCTCAGCCTCTTGAGTAGCTAAGACTATAGGCACATGCCACCACACCCAGATATTTTTTTTGTATTTTTGGTAGAGATGGGTTTTCACTATGTTGGTCAGGCTGGTCTCCAACTCCTGACCTCAAATGATCTGCCTGCCTCAGCCTCCCATGGGATTACTCACATGAGCCACCATGGGATTACTCACATGAGCCACCATGACTGGCCACTTTATTTTTCATTTTTGATTTATATGTACTTAGGAGTACAAGGGCAGGCTTCTTACATGCATATATTGCATATTGATAAAGTCTGGGCTTTTAGTGTACTCATCACCTACAACCCCTATTTAAGTTTCTGATTATTTCTGTTTGTCAGTTGTATAGAGTCATGTTATCTGCAGATAAAAAGTTTTGTCTTTTTTATAGTATATGGCCCTATATTTTGTTCTGTAAAAATGTCAACATATTTATTATAGCCAGTAAGAAACCAGTAAATTTATTTTCATTTTGTAAACAAGGAAAAGGAGATAACTATTTTGCTACATTTTGGCAGATCTAAAAAAAAGGGTGAAACAAGGTATTGAACTTCTTGTTGAACTTAACTGGAAATAATTTGGCTGACCAATAAAACTACCATTCATCCATCTTTCCATCCATCCACCCATCAAATAAATGTTTACTTTTTACCTCCTCCATGCTATAGATCCTTGTGGATACAATAAGGAAGACACAGTCCCTGTCCTTAAAGATTTGTCAGTGTTTTTAGCCATTAGCCATTCTGAAATCTTCATGGTTTTCAATATTTTCCATTTACCTTTGCAGCTCAGGGAGCCAATGGTACTCTGGAGAACCCAGCCCTGGATACAAGTCTATTGGAGGAGTTCTTGGGCAATGACTTTGATTTGGGGGCCTTGTAAGTATGAGAGTACTGCTCTCTAGTTGATGTTTAAAATATTATAAAATGATTAAATGAGCCAAGAAGTGTTCCCTCTGCTTCTGTTTTCCAAAATAACTTGGGTAGAACTGATATTATGATGTCTATGAATCTTTGACAAATATCACCAGTGCAGAATTTTCTTTGTGAGAAATTCTACTCAATCCTCACCTCCACCTGTAAATTCAGTATACTTAATAGATATGGGACTATTCAGGTTATCTACAGCTTAGGCAATTTGTATCTTTCAACAAATTTGTCCATTTCAACTAAGTTGTCAAATTCATCAGCATAAAGTTCTTCATATTCCTTTATACTTTTAATGTCCATAGGATCTATAGTGTTGATTGATTTGTTGTTCTTGATGTCAGTAACTTGTGTCTTTTTTTTTTTTCTTGATTAATTTGGCATGAAGTTTATCAGTTTTCTTAATCTTTCAAAGTATCAGCTTTTGGTTAGATTTAAATTCTTAATTTTTTGTTTTCTATTTTGTTGATTTCTGCTCTTATTTTCTGGTATTAATATAGGCACTCTAGCCTTTTTAAATTTTTAATTAACATCTACTAAAGTTCAAACTCACCATCTACCCTGACCCCTGGTAATCACTGATGTGTTTTTGTTCCTATGGTTTTGGTTTATTTCAGAAAATGTCACACAAATGAACCCATACAGTATATAACCCTTTGAGTCTGCCTTCTTTCATTTAGCATAATGATTTGATCAATATTTTATTTCTTCTTTATTACTGAGAAAGATAGCTTTAAATTGTTATAACTGTTTAGCCATTTATCTGTTCAAGGATGTTTGAATTATTTCCATCTTTGGCAATTATGAATCATACTTCATGGGTTTTTGTGTGATCAATAGTTTAAATTTCTCTATGATAAATATTTAGGATAAGAACTGCTGGATCACGTTGTAAGTGTAAGCTTAATTGCAAAAATATCCACATTTTGTAGAGCGGTGGTACTATTTTGTGTTACTAGCAATTAGTGAGATATCCAGTTGCTTCTCTTCATTGCCAGTTCCTGGGTATTAGGAGCTTAAAATTGTTTTTATTATAGTCATTTTCATTGGTTTTTAGGGACATTTCATGTATTAGTGTGCATTTTTTCTAGTAACTAATGATGTTGAACATCATTTCTTGTGCTTGTTCACCATTCATACATTTTCTCTGGCAAAGTCTTCATTCAAATCTTTTGCTCATTTTAAAAATTGAGGTTGTTTTAAGTTTAGAAAAATTTTTAGATATTCTGGAAATAAGAACTTTGTTAGATACATTATTTGTGAATATTTTCTCAGTAAGTGATTTGTCACTTATGTTTTTTAATCTTAACAGTGTTTTCCTCAGAGCAAAAGTTTTAATTTTGAAGATGTCCAGTTTTTTTATTTTTTTGTATATGGCTAAAGGTTTATAGCTAAGAAATACACACTTTATCTAATCCAAGTTCCCAAATGTTTTCTTCTAAAAGTTTTAGAGTTTTATATTTTACATTTAGGTCTATGACTTTTTAAGGTTTTTGTTTTGTTTTGTTTTTTTGTATAAGGCTTGAGATATAGATTGATTGTAGTTTCTTTATATATGGACGTCCAGTTATCTCAGAATTATTTGATGAATAACTTTTCTTCATTAAATTGCCTTTGCACTGTTGTAAAAAAAATCAATTGACAAAATATATGTGGGTCTATTTCTAGACTCTTTATTGCTTTCCATTAATCTATGTACCTATCATTTTGCCAAGACCATGTTATCTTGATTATTATACATGATCTTTATTACTGTACGTAGGTACTTTATTATGTCTTAAAATCATATAATGTAAGTCTTATGAATTTTTCTTCTGTTTCAATATCATCTTGGCTATTCTAGTTTCTCTGACTTCCCACATAAATACTAAACTTAGCTTGTCAATATTTAAACAGTTATTCTGGGATTTTTATTAAAATTTTATTATACCTAGTGATCTAGCCAAAGAGACTTGACATTCTAACAAAATTGAGCCTTTTAATCCATGAACATAGTATATCTCAGTATTTATTGAGGGCTTCTTTGATTTCTTTCATCAGTGTTTTATAGTTTTGAACATGAAAATACTGCACATATTTTCCTAAATATTTCATGTTCATCTTTGAACATGATTTTTTTTCAACTTTTATGTTTCAATTTTTCATCATTAGTATAGAAAAATATTGATTTTCATATATTGGGCTTGCACTCTTAAGTAATTTATTACTTCTAATAGCTTTTAAAATATATTTTCTTTGGATTTTCTATGTTGACAGTCATGTCATCTGCAAATTGAGACAGTTGTATGTCTTTCTTTTTAAACCATATACCTTTTGACACTTACTGAACAGGGTAAAACCTGGGTATAGTATTGAATAAAGAAGTAGTGAGAATAGGCATATTTGCCTTGTTCCTGAGCTTGGTGGGAAAGCATTTAATTTTTATCATTAAGTGTAATGCTAGTGATATATATATATTTTTTTGCCACTGCCCGTTATTTGCTTAAAGAGGTTCTCTCCCACTGTTAGTTTGCTGTTAATTTTTATCATAAATGGATGTTAAATTTTGTCAGTTTTTTTCTGTATTTATTAATCATATGTTTTTTCTTTCCATCTGTTAGTATAATGGATTAATTTACTTAGTTTTTTACTATTAAGCTTCCTTGTATTCCTGGAATAAACCTCAGTTAATTGTGATATGTTATCTTTTGATATAATGCTGGATTTAATTTGGTAAAATTTTGTTGAGCATTTTGCATCTATGTTTATAAGAATATTGATCTACAATTTTCTTTTTTTATGTTGTATTTTTTTCTGGGTTTGGTATCATCACAGCTATATCCTTATAAAATTTGTTGAGAAATGTTTCCTCTACTTAAATTCTCTGGATGAGGTGGTGTAGAGCTGGATTTATTTCCTGCTTAAATGTTTGGTAGACTTCATCAGCAAAATAATCTGTTCCTTTGCTTGTTGGAGGGTCTTAAATACAAATTTAATTTATGTAACATTAAACATTAAATGTTTGGTAGAAGTCATCAGCAACAGAATCTGTTCTTTTGCTTTGTTGGAGGGTCTTAAATACAAATTTAACTTATTTAGTAGGTTCAGGACTATTGATGGTATCTCATTCTACTTAAGTGAGTTTGGTAGCTTGTTTTACTTTTTACCCAAGGAATTGATCAATGTTACCTAAGTTATTAAATTTATGGCCATAGAGTTGTTCATAGTATTTTTTATTAACCTTTTAATCTCTGAAGAGTCTGTAGTGATAGTCCCTCTTTTGTTATTCATATTGGTAGTTTGTTTCTTTTTTCTTTTCTCCTTAATCAGTCTGTTGGACTTTTATCAATTTTGTCAATTGATTCAAATAAGTAACTTTTGACCTTATTAATTTTCTTGATTGTGTTTGTTTTCAATTTCACTGACGTCTACTCTTACCTTTATTATTTTGTTCATTATGCTTATGTGGGTTTAGTTTGCTCTTATTTTTCTAGCTCTTTAGAGTGGAAAGTGGAAAGAGTTTGCGATTTGAGTTATTCTTTGTTTTCTGATTTAAGCATTCAGTGCTATACATTTTCCTGTCTATGTGGCTTTAGTTGCCTCACTCAGTTTTTTATATAATATATGTAATTTTTTCAGTTCAAAATATTTTCAAATTTCTTTTGAGAAATGTTATTTGACTTTCTTTGATTCACGGCTTGCTGGAAATGTATTATGTAACTTCCATGTTTGGAAATTTTCCATATATTTTTCTATGACTGCTTTCTAGTTTAACTCCATTATAAACAGAGAAGATCCTTTGTATGATTCAAGGTTTTAAAATTCTGTTAAGGTTTGCTTTATGACCCAGAATATGATCTTTATCTTGGTGAATGTTACATATGCACTTGAAAGAATGCTCACTGTGCTGTTGTTGGATAATATTCTATAAATATCCGTTAGGTCAAGTTGGTTAACACTCTTGTTCAGGTCCTCTATATACTTGCTGATTGCTTTCTACTTACTTTATCTATGACAGTGACAGAAATGTTGAAGTCTTCAAGTGTCATCGTGAATGTTTCTACTTCTCCTTCAATTCCATTGGATTTTGCAAAAGCAAAATGGAATTAAATTGACAAGTTATGTGGTTAAGTGCAAACACATTTAGTATTGTTTGGTCTTTCTGGTGAACTTAGTCTTTTATCAGAGTGATGTTCCTTTTTATCTCCTTTTTCTTATTCTGAAGTCTATTTGGTCCAATATTAATCTAGCCACTCCAGCTCTCTTTTTTTTTTCTTTTCTTCAACTTTTAGGTTTGGGGGTACATGTATAGAATGTGCAAGCTTGTTAGGTAAACATGTGGCATGGTGGTTTGCTGCAAGAATCATCCCATCATCATCTATGTATTCAGCCCAGCATCCATTAGCTGTTCTTCCTGATGCTCTCCATCTGCCCCTCGACCCCTGGGTCCCCCAACAGGCTCCAGTGTATGTTGTTCCCTGCTTGTCTTCATGTGTTCTTATAATTCAGCTCCCACTTTTAAGTGAGAACATGTGGTGTTTGGTTTTCCATTTCTGCATTAGTTTGCTGAGGATAATGGCTTCCAGCTCCATCTATGTCCCTGCAAGGAACATGATGTCATTTCTTTTTATGGCTGTATAGTATTCCATGGTGTATATTTCCACATTTTCTTAATCTATTCTATCATTGATGGGCACCTAGGTTGATTCCATGTTTTTGCTATTGTGATTAGTTTTGGCTCTCTTTTGATTAGTGTTTGTGTTATATATCTTTTGCCGTCCTTTAATTTTAACCTATATATATCACAAAAGTTAAATTAGTTTTATTTTATTCAGTATAGCATTGGGTATTTTTTCCCTAATTGGACAATTTTTGTTGCTACTTAGGCAATTTATATTTAAATTAATTATTGATATGTTTGGATTTGAATCTGTCCTTTTCTGTTAAAAAAATTTCCATCCCTTCAGCCTTTT